CCTATGGTTAGTTACCCTCAGTGATCTGGCTGGGTGTCGCAAACAGTGGCGCTCGTGCATCCACTCGTTATTTTTCTAACACCACTCTATATGTATTCCTCATCTTCCGCTGGAATTTGCTTCGGCATGGCAATCTTTATTTCGCTCTTTTATCGAAATGGGCAACCAAAACCATTTGCGCACGAAAGTGCATGGTTAATGTTTGTAAAAACTGAAACTGAAACTTGAGACATCTGTAGCGCTGTCGCAATACCCTGTTTTCCGTGGAAGGGTCGAGGGTATGCTGCATTGATTAGGTCGGCCCGTGCCGCTCTGCAATGCAGAGACTTGGCCATTACCGGAACAACACGAAAATTGGTTGTCGGCATTCGAACACCGCTGTCCAGGCTGCACTGCACGGCTTTGGTGAGGCAAACAGGACGAGCGATGCTGAGGTCAGGCGCAAAGTTTTAGGCAATCGCGGTCATCCACTAAAACAATTGGTTGACCTCCATAGATTACGTTGGCTGGGGCATGTTTTACGCATATCACCAATTAGGTTACCACGGCGAGCGACGTTCGCCGAGGCGGGCAACGGATGGAATAAAACCAAGAGCAGTTAAACTAAGACCTGGCATGCGGGTATGAAAACCCTAAGCATGAGTCTGGGTCACATAAGTCTTGTTAGGCTCCCCGCCCGGGGACCTCGGGATGATCATACATGATGGTTAGAGACATTGAATGATACGGTTAGTGTCGTAAACAGTGGCGTTCGTACATCTACTCAATATTCCTGCAACCCTAGTCCAAATAAATTCTCTATCTTTTCGCTAAATTTGATCCCAGCGTTCTAATCTTCATTCTGCTCCTTCATTCAAAGACANAAAGACAGAAACCGAGAGCAGTGCACGGTGAATGGTTGTGAATACTCTAACTGCGACTCAATCTGTCAGTGATGCCTCAGCTTTACTGCCGAGTACGATTCCCAAATCTCGTTGATCCAAAGAGCGGGTTTCATTGTCTTTTGATGTGCGAAGGAAGTACTTCGAGGATAGACACGCTGCACTCAGATGGCTTAAATTACTGGGAACCTGAATTCGTGACTCCAATACACAACGGACACCAATTTGCAGAGCTCATTGTGTGTGCAAGACAAGTATGTTGACTCAGCTGCATCAGAGTCCTCACGTCCATTTCCCCCAGGCTGAGAGGTCGACGAGGTTTCAGAATATGCAAATTATTTAGTGGTAAACTACCAACAGTGCTATTTGGTTTTCGATCAAGTCTTTCACGCAAATCAACTGACTTTCCTTTAAATATTGTCCTGTTCACCAAGTTAGCTTAAAGACCACCCTATCCCCTTTCGAGTCGACAAGACGTTCCGTATCTATGAATTCTGTTGCATCCCACCCCTGCCCAAGGTTCTCTTCTTTTCCCACACTTCCTTGTGTTTATTGGCCTTCTTTCTTTTACTTAGAATCCAATCCTTCATCCTCCTCGTCATCATCATCGTCGTCGTACAGCAAAACACGGAAACATAATTCCCTGATCGCTGCCAAACTCGAAATGCACATGCATTAGGGTTTGATGGACGGGTTCTGCTAGGGTTTCCAGCCACTATGCGGGGGAACTATTGGGGTCCTCAACCAAAGCCTTTAGTTCTGATAGGAACCTAGCCGCAAGGCAACGGGATTGATTACTCCTTCGCCATTTTTTACCAAGTGAAACGCAAATTCTAGTCAAACCCCAAACCCGAAGGACCAGGAGACTGAACTTCGCCCGACGTCTACCCCTCGACTTTCCAAACATGATTAGAACTTCAGCTTGAGAAAAGCCATCCTGTGTAGCTCGTTAGGGCAGAAAGGGGCACAAGCCATCACCACGTCAAGATGCAGTCTCGTCGTACCGACGGCGCCACCCTACAGTCAGTTAGTCAGTTTGTACAACCATTAATCATGCACTATCGTGCGCCTGTCGTTGTATGTTCACTTCACACATGTCTGAATCTAGATTGTGCCAAACAAATCACATCACGATGATCTCGAATCGCCATCGCACTAGCTGGGATCACTAACTCCTTAGGATCTCTCCAAATCCTAATATTATATTTGTTTCTCTTTGCGGTTGTCGAGAAGTTGATTTCAATACTACGATCCCTCTGTACTCACAGCCGGAGTCGAGTCCCAGCTTACGGCACGTTTTCTTTCGAGCTCACCACGGAAAGCGATTTCGTCCTTTTCTATTTCACTTTGCTATATATTTGATTATGTAAACAGCCCTATCGCCGTGAGAGAATGGTGGCATCGTTTAACTCTCAGGTGGCAGACCGTCTGATAGGGAGTATGTAGACGACATTGTGCTATTAAGTGAAGGTCCAGGTAAGTTGCACGCTTCTCTGGATAGCTTCAATGTTAGAGTAGCCATATTCGGTATGCGTTTACTAAAATGCTGCAAGATTGTGTTGGTTTACCACCCAGACTCGCTCTAACTGGGGACGTAATAGAGCAAGTGGATAAGTTTTATTTGTGCAGCTACATCTCACCTGGTGGACGCATCACGGACGAAGTGTCAGCTCGCAGATGGAAGGCTCGATTGGCATTTGCCAACTTGAAACGCCTGCGGCACCGTC